ATGACGACGAGTTGTTCGAAACGTCGGCCTAATAAAGCGGTTTCTTCGTAACAAACCTGTAGGGCAAAACAGTGTAAAAACAGTATAAATAATTACAATTGGCGAACCGACCTTGTTGCATAGCGTAAAAGAGATTTTAGTGAATTTTAGGTTGCCGTTGAAAGGGAATCATGATACGAGTCTCCTTTGCGATTGAGAGAGTGCTTAACCCTTCTCGGAACTTTCATTTGGACTGAATGGGAAATTATGCGGAAGAGCTTCTAACATTTTGGAAGAAAAAATTATTGTTTAATGTGTGGCGTGTTCAGAAAGAAACCACTGACGATGAACATGATTTTTGCTCTTCTTTTGTGCTTCGTTTCCGGCGTCAAGAATCCGGTTTCCTTTCCGTTTCAGATCCGTTTTCTTCCTGACCCCAGCTGACAGTGACGGAATCTGTCAAATCCGGAAAGTGTTTGCTGTGATAACCGGCTCTTGCGCAATAAACACACGTTGAGGGTGATAGGCACATCAAACAGGATTACGTGAAATCAAATCGAACCCCCCAAAAGTGATTTGAAAAATGATTTCTCGTAATATTATAATTCGTTGTATATTGAGATTTATATAATATTATCACTGTGGTTTATAACAACTATTTCATTTTATCATGTCAAATGCTGTCAAATGTACCACGATAAAGATAAAAAAAATGAAGAGAAGAAGTGAAATATAGTATGACAAATCAAAACAGTAATAGTGATGAATGGGTGTAATCTTCTTGCAAGTACTATATACTATGCTATGCTTGAATGTAATGTAATGCATTCTATAAGAGGCAATTAGTCTTTTGATATCAATCAATTCTGTTGGGATGCACCACCGCATTCGAGTTCCTTCGAGAATTGTAGTGGCGTATTGAATGCGTAAGTGGCCTACACGATGACTTGGGGGCCACTAATGCTAAAGTCAGTGCTTTTATCATCCCAGACAATTCCGGTACCAGGTGCCCTGCAAGAATGGAAGGCCTAGTTGGTCTACGCTGGCGGATGTCGATCCAGAACACGATCCCTGGATCATATGTGTGTGTTACGCCACTTGCCACTACACGACCTCCNCCCACACTATGTGTACTATGTATATAACGAGCAGATACAGTAATTTTCGTATAGACGATCAGATTTGGAAAAAACGAGGTAACTGCAATGCTCAGACTGATTTGTGGAGGGGTGGCTTGGGTCGTTTCCTCCAACGTCCGACTATTCACTACTATTCTGAATAATTGTCAACCTAGGCAGGGTTAGGTATTCTGTCCCTATCCTGTAGTGTAATTTTGTTCTTTGTTCTATTTCATGTGTGAGGAAAAAAATAGTAAATTTTTCACTCTTCTATTCATCAAAAGCCCTCTCACTTTTGGTATTTTTCCCACCATTCAATTCCCGGTTTCAGCGGTCTTAAGGTAGAGGTGCATGAGTATGTACATATAGTAACTCAAACATGAAATGCTGTAGTAAATGTTACATTACTACCTTCAATATACGGTAAGGGTTGTGTGAGGGGCTGGGGATGATACCAGCCCTTCCTAGCGGAAGGGGAAGATGAGTCACTTAAAACTTCCAAAGGTAAGATCTCAAGTCTGCTAGGATTCAGGGGAATGAACGAAAATTTTGAGAAGGCATCAAGGGAGTTTCTTCGTCATGTCATCATCTAATGAATCACCTTCCCGTCTCCCTGTAAATTCAGCTTATGCTGAGTTCCCTGACTAGCCATGTCTTGATGAAGTGCAGTCTTCCCTAGCTACGGCGGTACTTCCAGGCGGATTGAAACCCGCGGCGTACTGGGAGCGAGTTCCACTCTCAACTACCTTCCTTGCGACTATTTATCGTGGGCCCATTCATTGTACACACAGAACAGAACAGAAAGATAATGTACTCATTCCTGAAGTTGAAAGTTACCTCCTCCAGGAGAGGGAAAATCCCATGGACGCAGAAGCATCTCTATGGGCCAAGAGAATATTCCATGAGACTGGGATTTCCTTCAAAGAGCAAAGTTCACATTTCACGGAACATGCGGAAGTCCGGGTCTATGTTTCTTTGTCATTGCAGTGTTCATTGACACTGCTAGTTCTTCGACGGAATTGCGGAAGACCGTCAGAGCACCTCCGCCCCTACCGGTCGGCCAACGGGACCGCCATCGTTTAAAAGAGCCGACGTAGAGCCAACGAACAACATCTACGATCCACGTCTTTCCGTTATGTCTTCACAACTCATCGGGTTGGTATTTTCCCATATTCATGCTGAATCTAATGAGATTTTTTCGATAAAAATCATAATTATATTCCTCTTTTGTGGAAACATTTTCGGGGTAACGTTATAGCTAATCGGCTACCCATAGAATCGCTGAAAAAAACCCTTGAGAGGCTTCTGAAGAGTTTTTCTGAGCTCTAAAGAACGTTCAATCATAATTGAGTTTTTTTTTCGAGTTTGAACCTTTTCTCCTAGCTGCTAATTCACCTTAAAAGTAGGCTACACCCTTCTTGGATTGATAGGGGTTGTTTCACTTTGGCCAACTAGTACTGGAGTCAGTTCTGTCTCTTCAGCCTGCTTGAAATAATGTAGCAGTGTACAGGAGACTCGTTGATTGAGGATTTCCTCCTACGGGTACAGTTGACTTGACTTTCCCATTCAAAGGATCACGTTAAGGGCCGAGTACCACGCTAATTGCCCATAAATAAAACATTTCATAATTGAAGCTCTTTAGATCAGTCTGATACTTTACTTTACTCAAGTGTGATGTTTTACTTTTCCAGAGTTCTCCTGTCCGTACTGGCTATCTCTCAGGCCCAGGTTGCCATCAACGGACCATTTGCCGGTCGGTACTATGCCGCTGCAAAGCCTGTGCTGACACCAGGATACGCTCAAGTTGCAGCACCAGTGCTCGAACCTGTACCAATGGTTGCAGCCGCCCCAGTAATGGCTCCTCCAGCTCCAGTGTTCGCTGCTCCGGCTCCACCACCTCCAGCTCCTGTGCTTGCCGCCCCCCCTCGTGTTGCTGCTCCAGTCTATGCTGCTCCTCCAGTCATGGCCGCCCCAGTGGCCAGACCTGTGATGGCTGCTGCTCCAGCAGTAATGGCAGCTCCACCAATGATGGCAGCTCCAGTAGTCAGACCTGCTTTCGCTGCTCCTGCCGTTATGGCCGCGCCAGCTCCAGCTCCAGTCCTCGCTGCTCCGGCTATGGCCCCGGCACCGGTTCTCGCAGCACAAGCACCAGTTTTGGCAGCCGCTCCATTCGCCTACGCACCAGCCTACGCACCATTCCTTAGCAGGCCTTACTTCATCGGAAGTAACAAATCGAAGAACTAAATTATGACATCCACAATGTGCCATACAGTGATTTTCTGTATATTTGGGGACTTTTCTGTACATTTGGATTAAAATAAATGCTCAGTCTGATTGTTTATTCAACCGATATGTCTGTAAACAAAATCTGGCCCATTGTCAGGATAAATGAGTACCTTGGCAGTGGGGCTTGTTGAGAAAAGGAATGAAACCTGAGAATCAAAAGACACGCTGTGTGGACCTGAACTCCGCAGGAGAATTCGTCCAGACCCTAACCAATGTCTGGACGAGTTCTCCTGCGGGGCCTCGGGGGAGATTATCAAACTGGACATCACGTCACCTTCTATACCTGCCACCTAAGCTTACTCAAGTAGGGTATCGAAGCTTTATACAGTACGTTTAACGTGTTTATCAAACACAACAATCATTTTTACAAACAAAAAAATTGCAATGAGGATTGAAAATCGGAGACTAAAGCCACGGAGAGGAGGTTTGAAATAGGAAGGTGAGGGAATTCCCTAATTGATATATAGTGATTCGAAGATGGCTTAGTAGGTTTATAGTTATCGTTTGTCGCTGACGACTATCGAAAACATCGATATTGATTTTTCCAACGAATTCAGGCAAACATTGTTCCTGCCCGCAACACAATATCGGGCTTCTGAGGGAGTTGTTTGAATGTCCGATATCGGCATTGAATACCCAAATAAAGGACGCACAGCTGAAGCAGCTGCAGCAAGCATTCAATCGTGAATAGAACCTGGAATGAGTAGCCTATACGAATGAGTAAACGAAAGAAATATTCACATGATTAATTAATATATAAACATAATTATAAGTTTCTGGACAAGCTCCTGGGAGGTCAGGGCCAAAGCAGCCGTATTCGTGGTGTTCTGTACTGTCAGGATAGGTATTTTGGATGAAGAGTGTCATTTGCGAATAGGATGCCAGGAGGTGGGACAAATAGCCATGAAGCATGGCGAGCAGCGAGACAACTAGTCAATATCCCCTGCCCTAGCTGATTGAGAAGGTCGATACCATCCACAAGGTATTCCCCCCGCTTTCTCCCGTAGCTTCCTCCCGGAGCTAAGCTCCGACCGCTCGGTTCACAGTTATTGTTACAATTTATATTGTTACAATTTCCTTTTTTCTATGAAATAGTTATCCCCAAAAATGGTAAGCCCCAAAAATGAACGAACCGCAGAAGCTCGAAGTCGAGTGTAGTACCAATGAGATGCGTCTTGGAACTGTTTCGGGTGAGCATGGAAGGCGTACTTGCCGACGCTTGCCGCCATTTGCATCGCCAAGTATGTACAGAAAGCGCAAAGAATACTCGATGCACAGAGCAATCCTCCATGCTGAAGAATCGATAAAATCAATTGAAACCCTTCAATCAGAAAAATCAAAACTCAAAAATAAACAAATCATGTTCAATATCAAGAAGCCTGATCGCATTTGGCCTATATTGTTGGACCCGGCCTTGAGTAGTTAGTTTTGACACCAGAACTTACAGATTAAGTGTCCCGCTTCATAGTTTAAAAGACCAATTACAAAGTTCACGGATTCTCTATTACAGTAACCAGTCACAGTGAAATGGAAGAGGCCCCACACAAAACAAGTCACATATATGGCGTATTGGAAAAGGTATCTTTCAAGCCTGTACGAATAACAATAGAGGAATTTCGTGGTTGTGGCTACTCTCGTTCAATACAGAACCCAAAACCCGTACTACTACTGTACCACAAGTCCCGAGTACTTAAAAAATTGACTTCTTCGTAATTCTGATAGCAAGAGACAGCTCAGGACTTATCAATACAAACAGTTGAATGTAGTTATCAAAATCCCATTTCCTACCCCCTTCGCATCCCCCAATGCATCCTATGCTCATTGCAAAAGTCTCACACACCACAAGTTCTGATTCATTTGTACAGAGTAAACATAGATTTTAAGGCCTGAGCTGTTTATTTAGTATTACTCACCAAAAAGCAGAATGTTTGCGGATTGTCCTCAGCAAACCGTTGAATTGTTCGAGAAGATGTGCTAGCCATGATCGTTAACCCTGACAGAAGAACACATAGGATTGACGTCCCGTAAAACCACCAGGACATTTCCGTTGGGATCAATACTTTCTGGAAAATAAAGCGAATGTTTGTTACTCCATTTCCTCTTCCGGTTTATACTAAGTATAGAGTTGGTAGGATAGCAACGAAACAAATAGATAAGGTAGTGAGCCCTGAATTGCTTTTGAATCATCCTTGACAATTTTCGAAATGGAGAATTTTGCTTCCTAACATGACCTTTCCTTGACGTAAGGTTTCTTTCCTTTCACATTCCATTTTCTCAAAATTCTGCCATTGGGTGATGTAGAATGCAAACCTAGTTCGGGAAAATAACAAGTAAGTAAGACAGTTCGGGAGGGCTGGAGTTGGAGGGTCCTGGCGTAATGGATAAAAATCTCACAGTAAATAAAGACATAAACATCCCTTTCGGATGGTTATTGGACAAGATGCTCGAGTTTGCATAAGTTATAGGCGACTTCAAATAAATAAGCAAATAAACAAATCTAAGTGAAGTACGTGTTTGAATGCGGTCACGAATCTAAGAAGGAGTTGAATGCATGGCTTATCAATTAAATGCAGTAACCATCGCCAACGAATCTAACATTTGCCTTTTTTAACAGTCATACCTAACTGTTTTAAAAGCTGGCTTCTCGTCTTTAAAATTTATAACAAGATGAGCAATGCAAATGACTGATTACAGTATTACTTACCGTATCGGGTACCGTATAATACATCTCACGCATTACGATGAAATCGAAGATGGAACATGACAGGCATAATGAAGCTGTGCCACATATCTAGAAAAAATAGAAAGCTCTTCGGAAAAATGAGTTAAGATGGGTTTTTAAAAAGAAAACGACCTCTAAACTCAATATTTTGCTCTACGTTCAAAAAAAAAAATAAGTTGTGTTCAATACATCATTGTATTTCTTACCGTAAGTCCTAAACTAATAGCAGAAACAAGCAATGGCGCCGGAAACATCAATATCTGAAAAAATCATCGGTAAGATTGGAAGGTGGCGATGAAAAAATAAATTGAACGATCTATATGGGTAAATTATAGTGCGATGAAATAGATGCCATGACCGAAATAAGAAGAAGAAGAGAGCAAACATTCCGGAAACAAGTTTGTGTAAAAAAGCTTTGTGCGTAGAAGGTTGAGGCTTCAGCTGGATGGCTAGTGGGATCAGGGTGAACCATTTGTGTGGGAGAATCTCTCAATCTAACTTCAAATGCCTTTTACTGGAAGGTAGAATCTTCTACAGCTATGCTACCAGCAAAAGTTGAAAAATGCTCAAATTGTCACGAAACAGAAATCGGTTGTTCACATTTTCACCTTCTGGTAGTAAAGACCTAATCGGAGTTTATGGAATTTGAAAGTTGATTTGTAGATTGAAAATTGCTTCAATGTTTATGGCTGAAAGCATTTCTGGGAAAAAATGCAACATCTGAACAGTACGTAGAGTATTGTCTTACCGAGGTTCTTTACAGTATTCTGAATGCAGGTTGATGCTATCATTCGCCTAAGCATAAATCGAATCCACTAGGGGTACCCTGTAGAAAAAGGGTAGCTAGCTGTCGATGAAACAAAATAAGCCCATACTTCATTCCCACTTTGTTACTGAGCTCTGGAATGAATTGGAAAAATAGCTCAAGTGCATTGCACTAGCAAAGGTCACATACAATGTAAATAAACAGAAGTAAAAACAAGAAAGAGGTGAGAGTAAATGCAGGAATCCTTCCTTCTTCATCCCCCCTCTTCAGACTGGCACTTGGGCTTCACAGCAAGGTAAACTGTTGATCATACAGTGCATATCAGACGACGATAAAACTTGATCAATATAAATCACGTAATAATGTTTTTTCAGCAGTTACTCGTCAGCAATGCAGAATAACAGACAAGGTCGGCAGCTGGGCCAATACTGAACTCAGCTCGGGCACAGAAGGCTGTGCAATTCAGAGGGTCGGAAGAATGCACGGCTCATTCCTAAAAGTCAACATAACACGAAGTGAAAGCATTGTCGTTCAAAAATAATTCCCAGATGGGCCCTTGATGACTCATCATTGACAAATCGAATGGGACCATCGATCGACATGGATTGAATGTTATTGATGGGAATTGCTACAAATCAAGCTCACAGTATAAGTTTTCAACAGCGAAAGTTGAAGCTATCTCGAGTACCTTATGGAAGTTGAATGCCATTCAATTCAATCAATTAAAAACCATTGATCGATACTGATTGAAGGTTATCGACTGGTAAGTCAATAAATCAGGATGTCCTTAGAATCAAGTCCCTATTTTCGTAATAGAGTTCGGGATGATAATAAAAGAGGTCAAACCTGCGTCATGAAAAAGTACTAAAATCAATTCAAATAGGTTATCATTAGGAAATTACAAAATACGTTAATGGTAAAAGGGAATAGGTAGTGATAATAAATGATATTCAACAGTAACACTTCAACAACTCTTTTCATCTTTTGTCGCTACCACTGCACTCCTACAGTAACCTATTTTACGGTAACTAACGTCTGCCCTCTCCATGATCTTTAGAGTTGATATTGAGTAGGAAGAATCGGGATCTGTTGGAGGTGGAGCAAATTCTTGGTCCTCAGATCCGACCCTTGGCGTACTACAGACATATTGACATGCACCTCGTAAAGTGCGCTGCATTGGTAAATAAATGGACGGGGGAGGGTCTTTGATTAGAGTACAGTACTGTCAAATTATGATAGGAATAAGCCAATGCTTTTAATCGATACAATCGATAAGTTGGGGCGGAGCAAAAAAAAATTGGATGCAGAAGTCGATACGGAAAATATAATGATGTAATCAAAACAAAAAAGTAAATAAAGGTTAAATTGCATAAGAACGTCTTTTTGTCGTTTCGAAAGAGTTAGTGGTTTTGGCGCTTATCAATCTCGTTTAGCGGGATACGCCCCGCATTTAACTTCCATTCGGAATCATAGTGGCGTATTGAATGCGTATGTGGCCTATACAATGACTTGCGATAGCTGTCCGATGTTCA